TTTGAAAAACATTACTGAAGTCAGAAGACTTCCAGGACTCTGTTAGTAACTGTTCTGCTGGTTGGTTTTGCTAGTCCTTTTCCTACGGCAAGCTACCCACACAGAGCTGGAAGGAAGCAAGGGCTGGATTACAGACACGGAAAGGAATTGCACTGCTTTGAAGCTAGTGCCAGTCTGCTGACTTGTAGGGCATCACTCCTGTTTCACTCCAGCCCAGGAAGAAAATCAAGCTACCAGCAATGACACCTGGTCCTCTAGTTGCTCTGCTCAAGGCAGACTGAAGAAGTGATGGCACAGGAGCCACAGTGACTCCCAGTGCCAGGGGAAGTGGTGACCCACCGTCACAGAATCCTGCCCACAGCCAGGAAGGTCACAACTACTTCAGAAGCTGCTGGAAAGTTTACTCCCTCTGTTTTAAAAAGTTGTGTACCTTGGCTTTTTGCTTCATGCCTCTTGCTGTACACCACTGCTTTGTTATTGTTTTTATCTCCTATAGTCCTCCTACCCATTAAAATCTATTTCCCATTGCAGTGCTGCAGCACGCTCCCTTTGTAGACCCAGAACAGGTAAGCCATTGTCTCAGTCTGCCTTCCACAGAAGACACCTACAACATAATCAAAGCTTCACAAAAATCCCAACTGTGGATGATCTACAATTAATGTGTATAGCTTCTTTAGAGAAAAAGAATAATAGCCCATCTCAATCTTGGGATACTCGCACAGAGACCAGACATTCACAGTACTGTCCACTCCAAGTTTGTAAAGCAAATGCATTCTGGTCTGATCATGTTAACCAAGTCTTGACACCAAGTATACCCATGCCCATAAATCATCAGAGCTGCCCGTGATTCATGAACATGCCTAGGATGAGTTTAGAGCTGGGTCCAGGGCTGAGTCTCATGGCTGGAGCACATGCCTGAGCTACCCCAGTGCCAGCCCATGGTTCTTAGCCCAGCTCTGAAGTCTGACTCCATCTGAAACATGGGGCTGGCTGTTAGCACACTGCAGACCAGCTGTGGGAGCAGAAACCCAAAGCAACCCACACCAAAGCAGGGCTCCTACCAGCCCTGCAGTACTCTCCTGGAAGTAAATGGAAGATATTGGTTCATTTGGGACATCAGCATCATCCTCACAGCCCAGGTGAGTGCTCCAGTCCATGGACTTTTGAGGAAAAGGCTTTGCTTGGATCAAGTGAAACTGTTTGTTTTCCAAATCCAAAAGCATTGCTCTAAACTTATTTCCTGACGAAGTCCATGACTTCTTCCTTTCTCCTTTCTTTGAATGTTTTCAGGCTTTATTTATTTTTTAAAATCTGCTTGATGACTGAACAAATTACTTGGGTTTTTTCCCAGTTTGTTTGCTTTTAAACACAGCATTCGCTTTGTCCCCAGCTCCCCCACATACATCCTCCTGTTTGGAACCTAGTTGTGCTTCCCTTGCCAGCGGCGTAGGATGAGCACAATGTAACTCCATTTACAGTGTTGCTTCTCACAGTCATGTCAGAAATCAGAATGAGGACAACAGTACTATGACTGTAACATACTAAAATAATGAATCTATCAGGTTGTTAATGTAGTTTTTATAGTCTCTAACATTTTCTGGGAAGTGAACTCTGAATCCTGGATGCAACACATCCAAAATTAATGAACAATATTTACAAACTCTTAAATATACATGTTAAACAGCTACACTTTGGGAAAGGAAAAAAGATATTTTCCTACACAAGTACAGTGGATTTTGATTCATACTCAAATACATGGATAAATATAATGCAACTGGAAATTCCAAGTCCTCAAGTTTTTGTAACATCGCCCCATGCAAATCTCATGCAAGAAATGAAAGGTTCACTGTAAAACAGAGTCAGGAAAAATGGCCTCAGCTTAAGAAAACTTCAGTCTTTTTAATATTCTGTTTCCTTCATACAAACAGCTCTGCTGTTTTATTCCTCAGACCCATCCTGGTAAATGGAAGGAGTTCTGCTGCCAGACTGTGGATTCAAATGCTGCGTTTCTTAATGAAGCAGTAACATCAATATGTGGGTTACACATCAGCATGCAAAGGGGAAGGTTTTATTCAGCATGGCATAGGCTCTTCTTTCATGGAAAGCAGAGCAGGTTTCATGCATTCGATTAATAAGCTTATTATTTCCCATGTATTCCTTTGTGAGGGAGATATTTTCTTTCTTCAGCAACCTGCATTAGCTAACACTGACTATAAAGAAATGTTTTCAAACCCAAGCTACACTCTACAATAAATAAAGATTGCTCTCCTCTTTTCAAAGTGAAATCTTGGCCTGAAATCTATTTTGTTCCTAGCACTCCTGTTAAAAAAGATGTTGGTGGTCCAGTTCCAATGCCAATAGGCTCTGTAGCATGGGTAAATCTGATTTCAGCTGCTCCTGCAAAGCCTTAACTGCATCTGCAAAACTACCCATTTGTGATGAAAAAAAAAAAAGTCTGAAGGCTTATGATTTAATTCTTCCACTGAAGTCTTTGAGAGCTTAAGTTATAATAAGGTCAGGAGAAAATATATGCAATTTCCCTTCATTTGTCATGTTCACTCTAAGCAAGTGGACTTTGATTTGCTAGAACTGAAAACTTTCAAAAACAATCATTTTAAGCACGAAAGGCAACACAAAGAATGTTCTTATAGTTGCTTCTCCTTAGCAGGGTCGAGAACTTAACAGCATTTTTATCCATTTTAGAATGAACATACTGTCATTTTTTATTTCACAGCTATGGGAAAAAATAAGAACTTCTCATGAAGAGAAGTATCTCTTAGTCCAGCCCACAAATTAGATAACCAAGTTAAAAGCAAATCCACAACCAAATTCTAATTTAGGAAGTAAAAGCAGATCTGCTCTATGACATTATAGTGTCAGAACTGCAGAAACCACTCTGGCTGTTGCATCCTTTCCCATCTAGAGGAATAACTGGTGAGTCTCGACCCTTCTCATCCACCCACCAGAAGACTGGTGCTTTGACTCCTTTAGGGCACTACAAGGCCTACAGAGAAAAGCTTTTTAGTGGAGCTCTTCTCTTCTTCAGTACCGATCTGTCATGCTCAGCAAAGCCCTGAAGTATGGAAATGTCTGTATTTCTGCCAGCAGCCAACTATAAAAATCACCATCTTTCCATAATCCAAACCACAAGCAGGTAAAGCAGAACATTCCCAGCCAGAGCAACCTGGCACACAGCCCTTCCTCCAAATCAGCACAACTCTTCTGGCCCACAGAAGTTTCTATTTCAATTGTAATGCTGTTGGCTGGAGAGAACTCAGCTGGGTGGAAGGGAGTGGCTGAGTTACGGGCACAGGGAGGAGAAGAGGCATGTCCCCCACCCGCAGGGTGACTGAAGCTTTGTGTTGTCTCCTACTCTGGAGCACAACAAAAACATCTTCAAGCACAGGTTGCCAGATAGAAAAAGAAAAGAAAGAAAAAGATGAGAAAAGCCCAGACAGGAAACATTTTGCTTTGCTGAGGACAGAAACATCACCAAGTTGAGCAGAACTGGCTCCTTCATCTTCTGTCCACTGGCTCCCCCTTTAGCAGTGTTTTAAATCATTGTACCACAAAAAAAAAAAAAAAAAAAAAAAAATTACCTTTCCTCCTTGATATTTTTCTTTCCTTCTATCATATCTACCTCTTCCATCCCAGTGTTGCAAACTCTGGAGATCCAGCAGCAGTTCTATGTTTTC